ATATTATGCAAGAGGTGGGGAGATGAATTATTAGCAACTTATTATTAATGGTTCCGAGACACACATACGCTACTACATACATAACTCTCACCTCATCATCACGCCACCAACACCAAAACAACGACACACACACACGCGAGCACACACACAACAGCACAGCCACACACCACACCACACTACACGACACACACACACACCAGCTTTTTTTTTCCTGCATGCGCTCTATGCTTACTGTATGTGGAGCTGTCTTGCAGAATGATAGAGAACATAACGTGTGTGTGTGTGTTGAGTGTTTTTCATATGAATATGAATGTTTGTGTTTTTTGTGCATGTCTGTGTTTTTGTGTGTGCATATGTGTGTGTGTGTTTGTGTGCATGTGTATGTGTTTTGTGTGCATATGTGTGTGTGTGTTTTGTGTGCATATTTGTGTATGAGTGCTTGATGTGCAGTTCTCCAGACCACCCATTATGTTGCATCTATAAGACCATCATTTAAATAGGGATTAATGAAGAATGAAAAAAATGATAACAGCTAACCAAAGAAAATGGCTACATTACTGAAGGAATGAAATAAGAGCATGTACGTACATATACGTATGCGGAAGTTTCCATTCATAAAGAACTACGCACAATTCCTTGCTGACCAACAACCAATATCCATGCATAACATACACATATATGTGGACACACACACACACACACACACACACACACAACACACATATATATATATATATACAATACATAGCATAACACACACACACACACACACACACAACACACACACACACAATTACACAATACACATATATATATAATATATAATAATAATATATATACATATATATATATATAATAATATATATATATATAGTATAATATATAATATATATATAGTAGTATATATTATATATATATATATTATATGTATTATATATATATATTATACATATATAGTTATATTATATATATTATATATATATATAAATATATATAATATATATATTATTTATAAAAAGGGTGATTAACCTTCTATTAACCTTCTATATTGATACTGGTGGGATAGGATATATATTACTAATAAGAGTTATACACAAGTAGAATAGAACACTTTATGAAACTGGTCAGTGCGGTGCAGTGCCCGGCTAGCCAGCCCCGACGATGTCACAGATGTAGGCGGTGGTGAGCGGGAGGTCCGTGCAGTACGAGGGGCATGGTCTGTCTGGTCATCCCGGGGTCACCCGGAAATGTGAGGTCAGAAAGGCAGCTGCTCCTGCCGGATGCGTAGCTCAAGGATGGGAGCGAGATGTGGGGTGTATTCTTAGAACCACCCATGCGAGATGGAACAGCATGGAACTATCATGATGCAATATACTATGCAGTGTGTTATAACTGCTCGGCCACAGGTCTGCAAGTAATCCACGCCCAAACGGCGGCACTCTACAATGACTCGAAGAGCCAGGGTATAGTCTGTTGTGGACTTACCAGCAGTGCATTCAGATTGCTCTTGATAAATTAAGAGAGAGAGACAGAGACACACACAGAGACAGAGAAAGAGGCATAGAGAGAGAGAGAAAGAAAAAGGCAAAAGACTTAATTCCATTACTTGCAATGGTTCTTTTTTGTTCATATGCAGGGCAGTGTACAGTAATACAAACTAAATGGAGATAATATCAAGTTCATTCGTAGGGCAATTATGAAATAAGATTAAAAAATTGGCCACATCATTAGAAATAAAGGTACATGGTTTGGCTTTTCATTTGACTATTAGATGCCTTTGATAATTCAAAAGAAACTTCAATTTCCTTTTGAAAGTAATTAGACTAGAGATGTTTCTAATATTTTGTGGTAGGTTAATCCAGGTACTGGATCCTCGTACCTATTTCCGTGTATAACATCTTTATGAGCAGAGAGTTAATATGTCTGGTTTGAATGCCTGTTTTGTTACCAATTATTTGTAGGTGCATAAACCAGTGAGAATATTCAGCCTATATGAATTTATGAATGGATATGCCTATGCCCTATTGACATTTTGATTGAACGTTAAACCAGTTTCGTGTAGGGGTTATATAGTCATATTTATTTCCGAGAGAGAGAGGGAGAGGGAGACAGAGGGGGGGTTGTGCAGTCATGTTTATGGAAATGAACTTGGAGAGAGAGAGAGATAGTGGGGGGAGAAGAGAGAGAGAGAGGGAGATAGTGGGGGAGAAGAGAGAGAGAGAGGGAGATAGTGGGGGAGAGAGAGAGTGAGAGAGAGAGAGAGAGAGAGAGAGAGAGAGAGAGAGAGAGAGAGAGAGAGAGAGAGAGAGAGAGAGAGAGAGAGAGAAAGAGAAGAGAAGAGAAGAGAGAAGAGAGAGAGAGAGAGAGAGAGAGAGAGAGAGAGAGAGAGAGAGAGAGAGAGAGAGAGAGAGAGAGAGAGAGGGAGGGGGGAGGGGGAGGGGGAGAGAAGAGAGAGAGGAGAGAGTGAGAGAGAGAGAGAGAGAGAGAGAGAGAGAGAGAGAGAAGAGAGAAGAGAGAGAGAGAGAGAGAGAGAGAGAGAGAAGAGGAGGGAGGGAGAGCCGTTAGATTTTATACGTTTTGGATGTGATTCCTACGCCACCGTTTCTAGACTGAAGTGTAGGACAATTTCGCCGCACCTTTTGCGCCCGGCAGTGGCAATCTGTGACGTCACTCCCAAACCTGGTACGTCCGGGGTTTGGAAAAAAAGAGATGACGGCCTTAGGAGGGCAATGAGGGGAGCAGATTGTTGGACTGACCACCTGCTGCTGAGAAGCAGGCTCTCTTTTTCCATCACCAGCAGGCATAGGCGACAGAAAGCGGACATCAAGCTGACGCTGGATGTCCATACTCGTTGACCCTGATATCAAGGAAACCTTCATGACTAACCTAGCACATCGGCTTGATAACTTGCCAGCTGAAGATCCAGAGGCAGCTTGGGCCAAATTTGGGAACACCCGAAGAAGAAACACCTGGGCTGGTTTGACAGCAACAATACAGAGTTCACCAGTTTACTCAAACAGAAGCAAGAAACCTTTAAAATCTAGCTCACTGACAAGAAGTCAACAACCAACCACAATCGCTTCAGGAGTCTCAGAAACAAGGTCCAGACTGTGATATGACAGATGAAAGACAAGTAGTGGGAGGCCAAGGCTGCAGAGTTACAATAATATGTAGACTCCAGGAAGTTCTTTGCTGGTTTGAAGACTGCATGGACCCTCCTCCAATGCCATGGCACCTGTTCGATCAGCTGATGGCATTCTGTTCACAGAGAAGAGTGACATTGTACACCGGTAGTGTGACCGCTTCAGTCAGTTGCTGAACAGACCATTCTAGATAGACCAACAAGTAATCCTGGACATGGCTCAACATCCAGTCTTGACATCACTTAACTTTCTGACACTGGAGGAGATCCAGAAAGCAACCAAGCAGCTCTAGATCAGCAAAGCACCGGGCCCTGAAGGGATCCTGCCTGAGATCTTCAAAGTTGGTGGAGGCTATAGCAGTCAATATCACTGAGCTGATGCAACGGTTTTGGGTGGCAGGGTCATTGCCACAGGACTACAAGGACGCCAACATCATTCATTTGTACAAGAACAAAAGTGACAGAGGATAATGTGACAATTACAGAGGCATCTCACTGTTGAGCATGACTGGGTCATGGCTCACATCATCCTGAACAACATTCTTCACTTGCTGGACGATGTTGTCTCCGAGGGCCAGAGTGGCTTCTGGAGCAACAAGGGAACAATCGACATGATCTTCACTCTTCACCAATTGCAAGAAAATTGCCGGGAATAAAACCAGAATCTCTACCTTCGGTTAGTCAACCTGACGAAGGTCCATCAGTCGTGAGGGTCTGTGGTCCATAATCTCTAAGCTTGGCTATCCATTGCAGTTTGTCAAGATCATGTCATTCCATGATGGCATGAGCGTCCTAGTAGTGGAAAACAGCACTGAGACCTTTTCTCAGTGTCCAATGGTGTGAAACAAGGCTGCGTCTTGGTACCAACCCTGTTCAGCCTCATGTTCGCCATTATGCTGTTCTATGCACTCTCCAACACCGATGCAGGAATCACTATCCACTACAGATGTGATGGGGCTGTGCTCTTGCAGCACTCAGGGAACCAGACCTACAGGAACTGTCCAGATGCCTGGCTGCTGCAGCCAAAGCATTCGGCCTGAAGATCAGCTTTCGGAAAACAGAAGTGATGCTTCAGCCTGCACCTGTCTTCTCTCCCCCAGAGCCAAAAAGGACACAAAGCTGAACAATGTGGACAGTTTTACCTACCTGGGGAGCTGCTTGTCCTCAACCTGCAGCATAGACAAAGAAGTCTCAAACAGACTAGAAAAACCAGGCACTTCTTTTGGCAGGCTTTGGAGCCAAGTGTGGGGAGAACATGGCATCACGCTTCTCACCAAGTTAGCAGTCTATAGAGCAGCTGTCATCAATTCCCTGCTCTATGGTTGTGAAACCTGTACACTGTACATCAAACAACTGAGACTCTGGATCAGCTTCATCTCCGTTGCCTGTGCAAGACCATGGACATCTCATGGGGTGACACTTTCCTACACAGAAGTGATTCGTAGAACTAAAATGCCTGGCATTGAGGCACTCATCATGAAAGCACAATTGAGGTGGATTGAGCATGTGACATGAACTTGCACCTTCCAAAGATGGTCTTTTCCAAGCTGGCTTCTGGTGCAAGAAACATCGGACGGCCACTCAAATGCTTCAAAGACTGTCAGAAAACATCCCTTGTAGCCTATGGTATCCCACTTCAGGGTTGGGAAACTCTTGCCTTTGACCGCAGTGCCTGGCGTCTGGCTATCAATAACTTTGAAGAAAAGCGCTTGCAGAACCTAGACCAGAAGCGCCAAGGTCGCAAGGAGAGGAGATCGGACCCGCAAACTGTTGTAGCATATTCTGAGTGTGGACGCATCTGTGCATCAAACTTTGATGCGGAGAAGGCGTGTCAAGGTTATAGGGTAGGGCAGTAGGGTCAATGGGACAGAAGGTAAGGGTCACCATCAGCCTTCATTCTGCAAGTACATAATGTCATGGAAAGACACGGTTACAAAATATATATAAAGCAGAAGTAGGCAATACCTCAAGAGAAAAGTAATGAATCCATTCAGGTGACTGGTACACCAAAAATCTTTCAATTTCTATCCTTCAAACCATTCCACCATTCTGTACATCCTAAACATATCAACAATACAGGAGCAGCACTGGAAAAAATATAAACAAATATAACCACTCTGGCCATAAAACGAGATATTTCCAAGATCAAAAACAAACCAGCGTCCAACCTCCTACAAAGCCCAGCTACGTCCCGGCAAAAAAGGACGCTACTCCAGATACTACAAACCAGTGACATCCACTTCATCAAAATTAAGTACAAAATATACATAATCACACAATCTCATAGTTATGGTCATTTCAAATACATAGCTATAACAAAAGAATCCATTTTCATTTCGTATGAGCCAGAAACATAACAAAATTAGACGCACGGCAACTCGCCACTTTGCGCGCCAAATTCAAATTTGAGCTCTGCTTAAGTATATATATATATATAGATAGATAGATAGATAGATAGATAGATAGATAGATAGATAGATAGATAGATAGATATAGATAGATAGATAGATACACACATATGTGTATATATATACATATACATATATGTATATATACTGTATACTGTATATATATATATATATATATATATATATATATATATATATACATATATATATATCGTATGTGTGTTTTGAAACCGATCCTCATATACCTGGGCATATGTTCTTTGCGTCAGGATGATCGGACTGTCGAGGGAACTGGGGAGGCTGAGAGTTGAGGTGGCTGCTCTCTCGGAGGTGAGGAGGCCTGGCAGCGGCATGACCTGTGTAGGTGGCTACACCTATTACTGGTCGGGCCGCAGCGATGGCCACCATCTCCAGGGAGTAGCCATTGCCGTCTCCAGCAGACTCCAGCCCTCGGTAGTAGAGGTTACTCCTGTTGATGAGCGTATAATGGTATTGAGATTGAAGCTTTCTTTTGGCTTCATGTCTCTTATTGCTGTGTACGCTCCTACCGATGTTTGTAAACTTGACGTGAAAGAGATGTTCTACGCCAAACTTACATCTGTGGCAGACAGATGTCCTCGACGAGATATTCGCATTGTTCTGGGCGACTTCAATGCGGTATCTGGCTGTGATCGAGCTGGCTATGAGATGTCTGTCGGTCCCCATGGTTCAGGAGCTGATGCCGGTAGCGAGAATAGCCTCCTTTTCCGGGACTTTGCTAGGTCCCAGAAATTGAGGATTTCTGGCTCCTGGTACCAGCGCCCAGACCCACATCGCTGGACATGGTACAGTGATGTGGGTAACGCAGCCAAGGAGATCGACCACATACTTGTTAGCACTCGTTGGAGGATCCTTCAGAATTGCAGGGTGTACAGGAGTGCTGAGTTCTGTGTACTGACCATATTGGTTGTGGCTACCCTCCGGGTCCACTTCAAAACCCCCCAGCGGTCAAATGATCACCTAGGGTGTTTCATTTGGACAGGCTGAGGGAGGGGGAGTGTGCCGCAGGTTTGCTGAGGCAATCTCTGATCGTTTCGCAGTGCTTGGCAGTCTGACAGACCCTGTTCTTCTGTGGGATACCTTTAAGCGTGAAACGCTTGATACAGCTCAAGATACGATTGGTGTACGCCCGAGAGCAGTACAGAATTCCATCTCGCGGGAGACACTGGAAGCCACTGATGCATGTCGTGCGGCTCGTCTGACAGGGGATCGGGAATTGCACCGTTCTCATGTGCGCAGAACTCGGTCCCTGTTAAGAAGGGACAAGGAACAGTTTATTAGGAGTCTTGCAGAGGAGGTAGAAGGCCATTTCTTAGTAAATGACCTTCGTCCTGCATACCAAGCCCTGAGAAAGCTGAACTCCAAGCCCTCTTCACAGGTGACAGCAGTTCGCTCAGTAAGTGGTCAGATCGTTTCAGATCCTGTTGCGGTGCGGGGACGTTGGGCTGAGTATTTTGAGCAGCTGTACCAGGTTGACCCACCAACAGTTAACTTGGATGCGGGTAGTGTCGAGATCCCGCTGCCGAATCCACCTATCAGTGAGGACCCTCCCTCCCTAACTGAAGTTAGGGGGGCGATTTCCAAGCTGAAGAGTGGTAAAGCAGCTGGTATCTGCGGCATACCAGCTGAACTGTTAAAGGCTGGTGGTGAACCTATGGCACGGGGGTTACATGCTGTCCTGGCTGCCATCTGGCAGTCCGGTTCCATTCCTCCTGACCTGTTGAGGGGTGTGGTCATCCCTCTCTGGAAGGGGAAGGGGGACCGTTGGGACTGCAGCAATCACCGAGGCATCACACTGCTCAGTGTACCAGGCAAGGTTCTTGCCCACATCCTTCTGAGACGTATCAGAGACCATCTACTGAGGCACCAGAGACTGGAGCAATCCGGATTCACTCCTGGTAAGTCCACAATAGACCGTATCCTCGCGCTTCGAGTCATTGTAGAGCGCCGTCGTGAGTTCGGGCGTGGGCTGCTTGCAGCCTACATCGACCTCAAGAAGGCGTTCGATACGGTGCATCGGGAGTCACTTTGGGAGATCCTGAGGCTGAGAGGAATACCAACAAGGATTATTGGACTAATAGCAAGCCTGTATACTGGTACTGAAAGTGCTGTAAAGTGTGGTGGGGGCCTGTCGAGCTTCTTTCCTGTTAGTTCAGGAGTGAGGCAAGGCTGTGTCCTTGCACCAACTCTTTTCAACACTTGCATGGACTGGATACTGGGCAGAGCTACTGTTCAAAGTCATTGTGGGGCAACGCTGGCAATATCAAGGTTACAGACCTTGACTTTGCTGATGACGTTGCCATTCTATCTGAGTCTTTGGAAACCTAGTGGCGGCTCTCGATGCATTTAGCAATGAAGCGAAGCCCCTGGGTCTAGAGGTCTCCTGGACCAAGACCAAGGTCCAGGAATTTGGGGACTTGTTAGGAGAACCTGTTCAGTCGGTACGTGCTTGCGGCGAGGACATTGAAGTCACAGAGAGCTTTACATACCTTGGTAGTGTAGTTCATAACTCTGGGCTGTCAGACCATGAAGTCAGCAGACGGATTGGCCTGGCAGCAGGAGTATTTGGAGATGTCGGTACCTGTGCAGAAGGACCAAGCTACGGGTTTTCAAGGCCCTGATAATGCCAGTTTTGCTATACGGTAGCGAAACCTGGACATTGTCCTGTGCCTTGGAGGCTCGTCTTGAAGCCTTTTGTAATAGGTCCTTGCGCCAGATCATGGGGTACTGTTGGCGGGACCATGTGTCCAACCAACGGTTGCACCGTGAGACTGGCACAAGCCCTGTTATCTGCACAATCCGTGATCGCCAACTCAGGCTATACGGCCACCTGGCTCGCTTTCCTCAGGATGATCCTGCCCATCAGGTCGTCTCTATTCGAGACAACCTGGATGGAGGAGGCCTGTGGGACGACCGAGGAAGTCATGGCTTGGGCAGATCGACCAAACCTGCCGTGAAGAACTAGAGATGGGCCGAGTCCCTGCCTGGCGTCTAGCCATGAGGGATCCTCGTAGGTGGAAGCGAAGGGTGGATGCGGCTATGCGCCCCCGTCGGCGTCAGCCCCATGATGATGATGATGTATGTATATATACATATATGCGTATATATATATATATATTATATATATAATATATATATATATATATATATATGTATATATACATATGCATGTGTGTATATATATGTATACACACATGCATATGTATATGTATACATATATGTGTGTATATATGTATATATATATATATATATATATATATATATATATATATATATATATATAATATATATATATATATATATATATATATATATATATATTATATATTATATATACATATATCTAAAGGAAACAGCCACAGTAAGAAATTAAGGTGAATGGTGACGCCAGATGAACAATTGACCTAACTGGTTAACGTAACGATCTATATATTCTGTGCTATTATATATATATATATATATATATATATATATATATATATATATTATATATATATATATATATATATATATATATATATATATATACACACATGTATATGTGTGTGTGTGAGAGAGAAATTAAACTGAATTGTGACATAACATGATTGGAACAACTAACATAACTGGTTTACGTTATGACAAATGTATATGTGTATATATGTGTGCCATCCAGTGTGGGGGCGAGAATTAGAAAAGGGAAATCACAGCTCTATGCTTCAAATCCTCTTTAAGACATAATTTTGAAAAGTCATATTTACCAAACTGAGTCATCGCAGACACCCAGTCATGCCCGACCAGACGTGTTTGTAATGAGCCATTGGTAGGTACATCCCTTATCTTCAACTATACCCTATACTTCACACGCTTCCCGCGCATGGTTCGTTTGTATCGCATCAGTGATTTCATATTGGCTGCCCCACTGATGGGCCATTTTCATATCCTCTTTGACATGCTTGTAATGCGGCTAGATCTGCGAAGTTTAGCATTTACTTATGTGTGGCCCGGCTGTGGCAGCATCGGTCAATTCTGTGCTAATGTCAAAAGTCGAACATTTTTAGAGTCGAGGTAAACATCCTCGTATGTTTTTCGGTGAGCGCGAGCGCTGCCGTTCAAGGTCATTCATTTCCATTTGAATCCCTGTGAATGAAGTGGGTCCCCGGTTGCACTTTGGCCGATGCTGCGTGGGCGGGGTGGAAGGCGGGCGGGGCGAGGGGAAGCCAGACTGCGTGGCGGGGGTGAAGGCGTGGAGGCGGAAGCCAGACTGCGTGGCGGGGGTGGAAGCGGGCGGGTGAGGGGAAGCCAGACTGCGTGGGCGGGGTGGAAAGGCGCGGGGTGAGGGGAAGGACTGCGTGGGCGGGGGGGAAGGCGGCGGGGTGAGGGGAAGCCAGACTGCGTGGGCGGCGGGGGGGAAGGCGGGCGGGGGAAGCGATGCGTGGGCGGGGGTGGAAGGCGGGCGGGCGAGGGGAAGCCAGACTGCATGGGCGGGGGCGGCGGGGGGTGAGGGGAAGCCAGACTGCGGGCGGGGTGGAAGGCGGGGGTGAGAGGGAAGCCGACTGCATGGGCGGGGAAGGCGGGCGGGTGAGGGAAGCCTGGTGGGCGGGGGTGAAGGCGGGCGGGTGAGGGGAAGCCAGACTGCGTGGGCGGGGGTGGAAGGCGGGCGGGTGAGGGGAAGCCAGACTGCGGGCGGGGGTGGAAGGCGGGCGGGGTGAGGGGAAAGCCAGACTGCGTGGGCGGGGGTGGAAGGCGGGCGGGGTGAGGGGAAGCCAGACTGCATGGGCGGGGGTGAAGGCAGGGGGTGAGGGGAAGCCAGACTGCATGGCGGGGGAGGTAGGGCTGGATGTGCGGGGGAAGACTAGGCTTGCGTGGTCGGGGGTGGAAGGCGGGCGGAGCGAGGGGAAGCCAGACTGCATGGGCGGGGGTGGAATGGCGGGCGGGGTGAGGGGAAGCCAGACTGCATGGGCGGGGGTGGAAGGCGGCGGGGTGAGGGGAAGCCAGACTGCATGGGCGGGGTGGAAGGCGGGCGGGGTGAGGGGAAGCCAGACTGCGTGGGCGGGGTGGAAGGCAGGCGGGGTGCCAGACTGCGTGGGCGGGGGTGGAAGGCGGGCGGGTGAGGGGAAGCAGACAGGGGCGGGGTGAGGGGAAGCCAGACTGCATGGGCGGGGGTGGAAGGCGGGCGGGGTGAGGGGAAGCCAGACTGCGTGGGCGGGGTGGAAGGCGGGCGGGGTGAGGGAAGCCAGATTGCATGGGGCGGGGTGGAAGGCGGCGGGCAGGGGAAGCCAGACTGCATGGGCGGGGTGGAAGGCGAGGCGGGCGAGGGAAGCCAGACTGCATGGCGGGGGTGGAAGGCGGGCGGGGTGAAGGGAACCAGACTGCAGGGGGGGGTGGAAGGCGGGCGGGGGTGAGGGGAAGCCAGACTGCGTTGGCGGGCGAGGGGAAGCCAGACTGCATGGGCGGGGGTGGAAGGCGGGAAGCCAGAACTGCATGGGCGGGGCGAGGGGAAGCAGACTGCATGGTGCGGGGCGGGGTTGGAACTAGGCGGACCGTCGGGGTGAGAGGGAAGCCAGATCTGCGTGGGTTTCGGGGGTGGAATCCATCAATCAATGGCGGCCCGCGGGGTGAGGGACAGACGCCCAGAACTGCATATGTGCCGGGGGGCGTCGGTAGGGAAGCCAGACTCTGCATGGGCGGTCGCCTCCGGGGTGGAAAGGTTCCGGCCCTCGCTCTGGGGCTGTACGGGAAGCCAACCGCGTGGGCGGTGGGTGGAAGGCGGCGGCCGGTGGTGAGCGGTGGTAAGCCCAGACTGCATAGGTCCGTGTGGGCGATCTGTTGGTGAGGGTGAAGGCCCAGCTGAAGTGGTGGGGCGGGGTGCGAAGGTGGGGGGGCGGGTGACCGGGAAGCCGGACTGCATGGTGCCGGGGGTGGACAGGCCGTGGCGGGTTGAGGGGAAGCCACGACTGCGTGGGCGGGGTGAAGGGTGTGATGACGGGTGTGAGTGGAAGCCAGGACTGCATGGGCGGGGTGTGTGAAGCAGGCGGTGGTGAGGGAAGCCACGTACTTGCATGAGGCGGAGCGGAGGTAGGTATGCTGGAGTGTGCGGGGAAGACTAGGCTGCGTGGGCGGGGGTGGAAAGGCGCGACGGCGGTGGCTGGGCGGGTGGAGGGGCGAAGACCAGACTGGGCAGTGGGCCGGTGGGTGAAGGCGGTCCGCGTCCGGTGAAGGGGAAGCAAGATCCTGCAACTGGATGGCTCGGCGGTGCAGGGGAAGTTCCCAGACTGGCATGGTTCCGCCGGCCGTCAGGATCCTTCCTCCGCCTCGGTGTTCGAGGGGGAAGCCAATTCTGCATGGCGCATGGGTGAAGGGCATGGCCGTTGGCAACGGGTGGAAGGGGAAGCCAGATTGTCTCCCACATGGCCTCTCTATCCTTGGTGTTGGGTCGAGGCGGAAGCCAGACCTCGACTGGGCGGCGGGTAGGGAAGCCTGGAGACTGCATGGGCAGGGGGTCTGGTGTCTACGAGGGCCTCTCGCTCCGCCCGGCCAGGTGCTCTCGCCGGTGCGGTCGAGGGGCAGCCAGACCGTCGTCTATTCGCGTGGGTGGAAGGCTGGCGCGGCGCGCTCTCCCAGTAGGGTCTGATGGGGAAGCCAGACTGCTATGGCGCAGGGGTGGAAGGCGGGCGGGGTGAGGGGAGTCCAGAGCCTGGGGGGGGTAGGGAGAGGTGAGAATGCTGGCGGGGGTGGAAGGCGGTGGGGTGAAGGGGAAGCCAGATTGCATGGGCGGGCGAGTCCGGGGTGAGGCGGGGCGGGGCGGGGGAAGCCAGACTGCATAGGCGGGGGAGAAGCCAGACTGCGTGGTCGGGGTGGAAGGCGGCGGGTGAGGGGAAGCCAGACTGCCATGGGCGCGGGGTGTGAAAGGCGGGTGGGGTGAGGGGAAGCCAGACTGCGTGAAGAGCGGCGCGTGGAAGTGGACGGGGGGGGTCCCAGGGGATAGCCCAAATGCCATGGCAGGGGTGGAGAAGGCCACCAGGAAGGCTCGGCGTTGAGGGGAAGCCAGACTGCAATGGGCCATGGGGAAGGTCTAGGTATTTCCTGGATGTGCGGGGGAAGACTAGGCTGTGTGGCGGGGGTGGAAGGCGGGCCGAGCCCATTAGTCGAGGGGATAGCCAGACTTGCATGGGCGAGGTGGAAGGCGGTGGGTGAGGGGATACCAGACTGCGTGGGCGGCAGGGTCGGATTAGAGCGGGCGGGGCGAGGGGTAGCGTCGCAAGACTGCATAACGGGCGGGGGTGAAGGCGGGTACGGTGGACGGGGTGAGGGGAAGCCAGACTGCCGCTTCGGGCGGGGCGGCAAGGCGGGCGGGGTGAGGGGCAAGCCCAGACTGCATGGGCGGAGGCGAGGGGGAACCAGAACTGCGTGGCGCGGGGTGGACAAGGTCGGGCGGGGTGAGGGAAGCCAGACTGCATGGCGCGGGGGTGGAGGCCGGCGACCGGCTGGCTGAGGGGAAAGCAAGACTGAAACATGGGCCGCCGCCGGGCGCGTGGAAGGCCGGGCGGGGGTGAGGAAGTCTCAAGACACCCGCTTCCGTTCCGTGTGGGGCAGGCCGTGTGGAAGGTTCGGGCCGGCTGGCGAGGGAAGCCATGACACTGCGTCGGCTCCTGCGGGAGGTGGAAGGCGGGTCGGGGCTTGAATCGGGACGATCTGTCTTGCGCTTTCCCACCAGTCACCTCTGCCCGTGGCGGGGGGGTGAAGCGCGGGTGGGCGTGAGGGGTAAGCCAGACTGGTGGCGGGGGTGGAAGGACGGGCGGGGTCGAGGGGAACAGACTAGCGTGGGCGGGGGTTCTGGAAGGTTGAACGGGGGTGAGGGGAAGCCAGACCCTGCATGTGGCGGGGGTGGAAGGCGGGCGATGCGAAGGGCAAACACCAACTGCAATAGTTGCGGTCGGAGGTAGGTATTGCTGGATGTGCGGGGAAGCACTTAGGCTGCGTGGGCCGGGGGTTGGAAGGCGGGCCGGCGGGTGAGGGAAGCCCAACTGCATGGGCCAGGGTGAGCCGGGCTGCGCCGTGAGCCCGGAAAGCCAGACTGCATTGGCGGCCGTTCTTAGTGTCCTGCCTGGTGCAGTCGCGGGCGGCTCGGCGGGTGAGCCAGACTGCAAGGCGGGGCGGAGGGAAGCACAGAACTGTGTGGGTGGGGGTGGAAGGCGTTGTCGGGGCCGTTAGGGTTGAAGCCCCAGACTGCATGGTCCGCCCGGGTGGAAGGCGGCGCTCGGGCTGAAGGGACTACCAGCTGCATGGGCGGGGTCATTGTCGAATTGGCGGGCGGCCGGTGCGCCCGGTCGCACCGCCCATCTGCCGTGGAGTGGGGGTGGAAAGGCGGGGCGGGGTGAGCGAAGCAGACTGCGTGGGCGGCGTGGCTCGGCACCGCGGGCGGGTGAGGCTGTGAACAGGCCAGGCGCCCGGGCGCGCTCATATGTTGCACTCGGATCAGCCTAGATTGATTCTGGGCCCTAGGCGGGCTCGCCCTCGGAGGTAGGCGCTGTCCGCGTAGCCCGAGGGGAAGTCCAACTGCATGGGCGGGGGGGGGGTGGGGGGGAAGGCGGGCGGGGTGAGCGCGGAAGCCAGACTGCATGGGCGGGGGTGGAACGAGGCGGGCGGGCTGAGGGGCAAGTCAGACTGCGTGGGACGGGGGTGGATAGGCGGGCCGGGTGAGGGGAAGCCAGACCTGCGTGGGGCGGGGGTGGAAGCCGCGGTGCGCGCGTGAGGGGAAGCCCAGACTGCATGGGCGGCCCGGGGGTGGCAAGGCCGCGGTCTCGGGCTCGCACGCCGCCACCCAGCCACGACCTCAGCGTGGCCGTAGGGGGGTGGAAGGGCGCGGTCGGCGGTGACGGGAGCAGACTGCGTGGGCCGGGGGTACGCGAAGGCGGAGCGGCCGTGAGGGGCAAAACAGACGCGTGGGCGGGGGTGGTAGGTACGGGCGGGTGAAGGGGAAGCAGACTGCATGGCGGGTGTGGAAGGCGGGCGGGGTGAGGTGAACAGACTGCATGGGCGGGGGGTGGAAGCAGGTGGGTGAGGGGAAGCCAGACTGGTGGCGGGGGTGGAAGGCGGACGGTGAGGGGAACCAGACTGCGTTGGGCGCGGGGGTGGAAGCGGGGCGGGGGTGAAGGGGAAGCCAGAACTGCGTGGGCGGGCGTGGGCAAGGCGTGGACAGGGGCGATGGGGAAGCCAACTGCATGGGCAAGTGGGTGGACAGGCGGGTGAGGGTGATGGGGAACCAGACCTGCGTGGGCGGGGTGGAATAAGCGGGCGGGGCGAGGGGAACCCAGACTGCATGGTGGGGGTGGAAGGCGGGTGTGGGCGGGGTGAGGGGAAGCCAGACTGCGTGGCGCGGGGGTGGCAGACGGGCGGGCGAGGGGAAGCCAGACTGCGTGGGCGGGGGTGGAGGCGGAAGGGGAAGCAGACGCGTGGCGGTGGGGCGCAGGCGGTTGAGGGGAAGCCAGAACTGCGTGGAGCTGGGGGTGGAAGGCGGGCGGGTGGAGGTTGGAAAGCCAGACTGCATGGACGCGGGGGTGGAAGGCGGGGGGGGTGAGGGGAAGCCAGACTGCGGGTGTTGCGGGGGATGGAAGGCGGGCGGGTGAGGGGAAAGCCAGACTGCAATGGGCGGGGCGAGGGGAAGACCAGACGCGATGCAGGGGGGGTGGAAGGCGGGCGGGTGAGAGGAAGCCAGACTGCATGGGCGGGGGGAAGGCGGCGGGGCGAGGGGAAGCCCTGCGTGGCCGGGGGTGTAAGGTGGGCGGGTTAGGGGAAGCCAACTGCATGGGCGGGGGTGGAAGGCGGGCGGGGTGAGGGAAGCCAGACTGCATGGCGGGGTGAAGGCGGTCGGGTGGGGAAGCCAGACTGCGGTTGGGCGGGGTGGAAGGCAGGCGGGGTGAGGGGAAGCCAGACTTCGAGGGCGGGGGAGGTAGGCATGTTGGATGTGCGGGGGAAGAGTAGGCTGCGTGGGCGGGGAAGGAATTATAGAATATTATATGCAGCATCTAATTATACAATCGAGCAAAGGATAATACTTTCACAGTCTGTAGCACAAAATATAGGAGGAAACCGTATACTGCTGAAACAAATGTGGAATATATATCTTCAATAATCATGGCTTTTCCGTAAATCACCCCTTAACTTTCACTGTTACATGGCACAGGGAACAGGTCTACGCTCGGATCAGGATCGAATTCCGAGCGTCAAAAGAATTTTTTTTAATGCCGCCGAGGATTCCTTTACGGCGGACAGAGGGCGAGCCAGACAGACAGCGCCAGAGGAGGCAGCGCTGCCCTGGGGAGAAGAGTCACGGGTCGCGGGGTCAGCCGGCGAGGAAAAGCGCCCGAATTAAAGTTCAAAAGCAAATTTGACAGAAGTACATTCGTGTTGATGCCAAGATGAGTCAGCAACCTTCCCTCTTTTTATGCGAACGAGGATGACCAAGAGTCTAAACTACCTTATCTTTTCACTTTTTTTTCTTAGGTTTGAGTACCGCTATTATAAGTCATCTTGCCTTCGCACTATCGTAGCACGTTTACCTGTAAGAAAAGCACTTAGAATAAGGTATGGCATACCGTGTCTATATCCTCTTTCTAATAAATTCATAGTTTTCTGCGTACAAACCATATGTGATGTATCCATAATACATATATACCCGATAATAATAAACACCATTACATACATACATACACACACACACACACACCAACACATTCACACCCACAACACACACACACACACAAGACACACACACCACACACCACATGATATCATACTTTACTATACCCACTAATCCAATTCTATATATATATATAATCTATATATATATCTATTGGTGTCTGTGTGTGTGTTGTGTGTGTGTGTGTGTGTGTTGTGTGTGTGTGTGGATGTGTGTATGTTATACTATACTATACCTACCCTCACTATATCCCCACCTATACACTCCCTACCCCCCATACATTATTCTTCTTATTACTTCACTTCACCACTCAAATACTTCTACTAGAGTATACTAGCAATAAAGCCCACAAAGAGAATCTATATGGGTCCATAATTAGTATTCTACTATTGTTTCATCTATATTTATCTTATTCAATATTAATACTTATATATCGAGACAAACAAGTCTCACTTTCTAAACACAATCATATCTAACTCAGAAGATATGCAATACTAGTCATCAACTTAACACTGGAGAATTACTTAATTTTACAAAATTATAGTTTAGTTACTAATTAAGATAACTATATTGTATAGAATGTGCACATATGACTAATATAATCAGTATCCATTCAGCCTAACATACAAAATACAACTTACAGCATCACTACTACCCACTCTTATATCTACATATTATCCCTATACAATATATTACTCCAAAGTACCAATTACTATAACAACACCGACCACACACACACTATACCACACACAACAACACACTCGCACAAACTATATATATATCTACTGTGCCTATCAACCACACACAGATTATAAAACATATAACCGATCACCATATTAAAGTAACACATAACTATCAATACACACCATAACTATATATATACAAAACCAATATATATATATTATAAAGTTAATACTGGTTTGGGTGTTGTGTGTTTGTGTGTGTGTGTGGTGTTGTGTGTGTCACAACACTGACATCAGTTCATGTCAGGTGTCACGTGATATGCGATATTAACAGCACACAAACCAAATCACACCACACACACACACACAACACACCACAACAAACCAGCAACACACACACACACACACACACACACACCACATAAATATATATAAAAACACTAACATACACTACCACACTAACACATATTAGTATCTAACAAACCACATATATCTATACTCCAACAATCAATGTTTACCTATGAAATATAAATTCTATACAATAAATAGGCAATTATGTCATGCACTTATCATGTAACACATATAGAAATATTCATCATGTTGTGGTCAATTGTATTGTCTTTATTGTATACATCAAGTATTTCATAACATACACTATCTAAATACAACTCCAATAATATAATCATGTGTACATATAGTCCATGCAGCGCAACGATATATGCAGCTTGTGAGCGCTAGCAGTCCGTGTATGCTTGTGCTGTATCCATGGTGTTCCGCTTGTGTTTTTGCTGCGTGCGTTATATCTTAACATAACACAACTCAGCAATCGACACATACACCCACATCCAGCAGGTATTAACCGAATTCCTGAGGAGGGTGACAGAAACTCCGCCGTCCCCTCGGTGAGAACAGAGACTTGAAGAGAGCCAAAAGGTTATATAGGCGCGAAAGAATCCTAACATAACAGAAATTCTTAATCATAAAAGGACCCTGAGATACATACATCTAGAGGGCAAAGCACGACTCAACAAATATCCTCCCTGTATACTAAAATCGGTCAAGAAAGTAAAGCAAAATTGGTATTTATTAGTAAAGCATGATACCACTAACACATCTAGGGTAACAAGGACTGAGTTTAAATTTATAAGACTTATAAGCGAGACAAATGTAGGAAGTGAGAATGTATGATGTGAAGAAATATAAAGCATCTTTATTATATTAACATGCAAATGTGTGTATACTCAATTTGACACGCAAAACACAATCACAATCGCGGCAGAAGCGTACACAACACTCACCCACAAGACACACACATCTACACACACCACACATCACACTTACATCACACATAACAATCACAAACACACACCAACACAACACACACACACACACACACACACACACACACACATGAACACACACCACACGACAAAGATCGACAATAATAAATTAACTAAGATTAATAGTGATCCAATCACACATAACAGGATCACACACAACATATATATTAATATATGTGTGTACTTATATCATAAGATATATATATTATATAACATAAGCATAAAAAAAATATAAATAATAAAATAATTATATATATAAGTATAATATAATAATAATTATTATATTATTATATGTAATTTTATATGTATATGTATGTATATATGTATTGTATGATATAAATAATATATAAATAATATTGTATTATATAATATATAATAATATACATAATATATATATATATCTAATATATTAATTGTGTGTTGTGTGTAGTTGTATGTGTGTTGTGTGTGTGTAGTGTGTGTGTGTGTTGTTGTATCGTTAACTTATAGTATGTATATATATATATATATTAAGTATAATTATATATATATATATATATGTATATATATATAACTTAATATATATAATATATTAGTATAATTTTTATTAAGTATGGTATTATATTTTGGTTTTAGATTATTGGTTATATTAATGTTGTGTGATTGTGTCTGGTGTATATTATAGAGTGTTTTAGCTACTGTATTATATTGTACTCACAGAATTAACATATATATATAATAGTTAATACATATAATATATATATACTATATATATATAATATTAATATATTAATAATATATATAATATATAATATATATATATATATGTATGTTATAATATTAATATATATAGTATAATATTATATAAATATAAATATAATATAAGTAAATATAATATATATAATTATTATATATATATATTATACACTTAATACATAGTGTGTGTGTGTGTGTGTGTGTTGGTGTGTGTGTGTGATGTGTGTGTGTGTGTGTGTGTGTGTGGTGTGTGTAATGTGTGATGATGGTGTGTAATGTGTGTGTGAGTGTCTATATATATCATATAATAATCTACAATATATATATAAATAATAACTATAATATATATATACAATAAAATAAATATATTATAATCCTAATAATTAATATATAATTATATATATATATATAGTGAAACCCTCGCTGTAACGCGGTTATAACCGCTTCGCAGTTCCACGACTGACATATAGCGAGATATTCGACATTGTGCAATGTGTAGTATCTGCCATTCTAGATTGGGACTAAACAGT